GACCATGGTTACTCATACTGTTCTCCACGTTGAAAATTGTACTGGAAGTACTTTTCTTGCAGTGACCATGGTTACTCATACTGTTCTCCACGTTGAAAATTGTACTGGAAGTACTTTTCTTGCAGTGACCATGGTTACTCATACTGTTCTCCACGTTGAAAATTGTACTGGAAGTACTTTTCTTGCAGTGACCATGGTTACTCATACTGTTCTCCTCGTTGAAAATTGTACTGGAAGTACTTTTCTTGCAGTAATCATGGTTACTCATACTGTTCTCCACGGTGAAAATTGTACTGGAAGTACTTTTCTGGCAGTGACCATGGTTACTCATACTGTTCTTCACGGTGAAAATTGTACTGGAAGTACTTTTCTTGCAGTAACCATGGTTACTCATACTGTTCTCCACGTTGAAAATTGTTCTGGAAGTACTTTTCTGGCAGTGACCATGGTTACTCATACTGTTCTCCACGGTGAAAATTGTACTGGAAGTACTTTTCTGACAGTGACCTTATACTAATAAACAAAGTTGAAACTAATTTTTGGAAGTTCTATAAAAGTTGTGATAGGTTGTATTTTGAGTTATTCAGCAGAAAATATCACATAGAAAATACATAATTTTATATTCAGATAAAGTTTCATATCAGCATGTTATTAACTCGTGCATAATTGACATTTTCATAATAACTACTAATAAGGTTTAAAACTGGTCTCGTCAGCATTAAAAGTTCATAACATTTCTTAACTTTTAGGAATCATAATTTTTGGCTCGCCCTGTGTAATCAAGTATTAGTAGTATTTTACTTAAGCTTCTAATGTTTAATGTAGCATGTTCATACTGAATATTAAGTATTTAATTCAACTGATTGTTTTACTTGTGATTTTTATAACATTCCAACTTATCATATATGTAAAATTAATATTTTAGTGGTGTCTTTTAAACGTTGCTTTTATTTAGGGTCGACATATTTTGAAGGAAGATTTGACAGCCTGTCCACAGTGTCAGTTTCCTGCCTTATACTCAGAATTTGTTAAGTACGTATGCCTTTTGTTAATTTGTATTATAGAAATGTTAGTTTAACCCTAAAATTAATCTCAAAGTATTCTTAGTACGTACGATTCACGTGATGATGAACAACTTCAGTAAACTAATAATGGCTGGAGACGGCTTGAATAGGTAATGAAGAAAAACTTTAATATAAGTTTAACATAACAGCAAATGTACAACGTTTCAACAAGGTTTTGTACATTTGCTGTCATGTTAAACTTATATTAAAGATTTCTTCATTACCCATTGAAGCCTTCTCCAGCCATTATTAGTCTCAAAGTGGGTTCCTCGTCATCGAACTTCAGTAAACATTATTAGCTAATCAGGTTATTATACATTAGTCATCATAACAGTTGAGTGTTAATTATAATGAAATCAGTTCACCAACTCTGATACTGTATTGAGTTAATACCGAAATGTATAAGTTAATTTGTGTGATATTTAACTCTTACTCATATTTTTATATGTAAATAGAAAAATATTTATTTATGAAAGAACATCATAAACAGGAAAGATGTTAACTGTGTAAAAAGATTAAAGATAATAACTAGAGGGTACTCACTAGAATGCATACCTCTACCACGCAGCATTGATCATATTCGGCTCTTAAAAAATACAAAAATGTGTCCGTCGTCATCAATGGACGTAGACCATTTTTGGTAGAACAATGAGGAATAATATTCTACACATGTCCACCAAGTTTTATCAAAAATCCAATCATTTTTGACTGAGTTATAGAGCAAAAATAATTTGAAAAATTGGTCCATGTGTTAATAGATAGGAATTTTTTGGATTTTCTTGATCTTGCTGTGACCTCCAAAAACTAATCACTTCTAAGTTGGATCATAGTCCAAATGTATACCAACTTTCATCAAAATCATTCAGCTGTTTTTAAGAAATCTTACTGACAAACACACGGGTGGAAATATAACCTCTGTCTACCTTATGTGGTGGAGGTTACTAGAAAACCGGTTACTGTAACTGGGAGTAAAAGGTTACTAGAAAACCGGTTACTGTAACTGGGAGTAAAAGGTTACTAGAAAACCGGTTACTGTAACTAGGAGTATAGGTTACTAGAAAACCGGTTACTGTAACTAGGAGTATAGGTTACTAGAAAACCGGTTACTGTAACTAGGAGTAAAAGGTTACTAGAAAACCGGTTACTGTAACTTGGAGTAAAAGGTTACTAGAAAACTGGTTACTGTAACTGGGAGTAAAAGGTTACTAGAAAACCGGTTACTGTAACTGGGAGTAAAAGGTTACTGTAACTGGGAGTAAAAGGTTACTAGAAAACCAGTTACTGTAACTAGAAGTAAAATAAATGAAAATGATCTTGAGTTTGAAAAACTTTTGATAATTTCAAGAAAAGATAAAAATCACAATAAGAAATATGTATAAAGTAAAACACTCTAGAGCAACAGCTTAGAAGTATTGTTATCACATCTGAAAATGCGTAAAGTTTAGCCCTAAAGGGAACTCGTTATTGCTATGGCATTCATAGAAAGAGATAAATGTTAACATTTCATTAAAAGTACGTTATTTTTTATTGTGTCACTGTTAATAAAAAACAACAGCATTAAGTTACCTTAATGAAGAATTTGAAGTGTTTAAAATGTATTATTTATATGTGTATATGCTGCCTTGTAGTGTAAATAGAATCTAAGTAATACATAAACTGAACTAACATTCCAAGTCAGTAAAGAAATAAGAAGTTACAAATGTTGATTTAAAGCAACAAAACAAAGAAATGAGGAACACCTTGGATGACTTACAGTAACTATATTATATGAACAAGGGAGCATGTGTAGAAGTGTGTAAGCTATATTATATAAACTAGGGGAGCATCACCAGTCTGTATAGAAGTGTGTAAACTATATTATATGAACTAGGGGAGCATGTGTAGAAGTGTGTAAACTATATTATATGAACTAGGGGAGCATCACCAGTCTGTGTAGAAGTGTGTAAACTATATTATATGAACTAGGGGACCATGTGTAGAAGTGTGTAAACTATATTATATGAACTAGGGGAGCATCACCAGTCTGTGTAGAAGTGTGTAAACTGTATTATATGAACTAGGGGAGCATCACCAGTCTGTGTAGAAGTGTGTAAACTGTATTATATGAACTAGGGGAGCATGTGTAGAAGTGTGTAAACTATATTATATGAACTAGGGAGCATATGTAGAAGTGTGTAAACTATATTATATGAACTAGGGGAGCATGTGTAGAAGTGTGTAAACTATATTATAGGAACTAGGGGGGCATGTGTAGAAGTGTGTAAACTATATTACATGAACTAGGGGAGCATGTGTAGAAGTGTGTAAACTATATTATATGAACTAGGGGAGCATGTGTAGAAGTGTGTAAACTGTATTATATAAACTAGGGGAGCATCACCAGTCTGTGTGGAAGTGTGTAAACTATATTATATGAACTAGGGAGCATCACCAGTCTGTGTAGAAGTGTGTAAACTATATTATATGAACTAGGGAGCATCACCAGTCTGTGTAGAAGTGTGTAAACTATATTATATGAACTAGGGAGCATCACCAGTCTGTGTAGAAGTGTGTAAACTATATTATATAAACTAGGGGAGCATCACCAGTCTGTGTAGAAGTGTGTAAACTATATTATATGAACTAGGGGAGCATCACCAGTCTGTGTAGAAGTGTGTAAACAGTGATGGCACAGGTTTTTAAAGTTTAACAGCTGTTATTTTCTAGCAGTACTTGGAATTATAATAGTAGAATTAAACTGAGAAAACCTTTTCTACCTAATGATACTGATTTTGTTCTGTAAATAATGAACCTACAAACATATTTCAAAGTGAATCATATAATTTTCTCCACCAGACTACTAGATACAGAAGAATGTTGTCCCATGTGTAAAGATAAAGTCAAGACTGAGAACCTGACAAAGATTGAAGACATCAGACCTTTCCTGCAGACAGAAGGAGAAGATTAACTTGTGTGTGTGTGGTTAAAATGTTTTTCCTATCAGAGTTGTGTTTTTCTCATCATTTTTGAACACATTGCAGAGAAAATATGCTGTGTAATATAATGATTGTCATACTCATTTTAACCCCATTATTTTTTGTGACGAAGCAGTGTTAAGTTGTAAGATGTTGTTAAAATGTATCATTTTTCCATTTTATTTTTGGATTCATTTAAAAACATTTTTCATGTTCTATAAGTTTCACATTTACATTGATTTTATCATTATTTCATGAATAAAAGATTTTCTTCCTTTTCAGCACAATAAACTATCCAACTTTTACCTAACTATAGACAATGTAAACGTCAGTATAATATTGTACTGTGGTGGTGAGTAGTATACGTGTGAACTGTTAACCATCAGACTGAACACCTTTAAGTTAAACACAGATTATCGGCTGAGGATTTTCTTAATTGTTTTGATTCTTGCTCTAGTAGGTTTTCAAACAGTCCATCTAACATATCTGTACGTAGATTTATTTACTGTAAAGACTTGCTTTAAAACTGTAATGTTTTTATATCAGCTCTTTAATTATCTAACGTTTATTAATGTGAGGACTTCTCATACAAATATTATTGTCTTAAAATCTTGAATTTACTCATTGTTCAAACTTTCAAGACTCTATTTCTTAAACATTACAGATAAACTGAAGTTAAAACTTATATTATGCATCTAAACTAGTTAATTACTGATATATTATGCAGGAAATTTTGTTTTCTTGTATATATATTGTGTGGTAGCTGTTATTATGTATAATGCAGAACAGTGTTTTGGTACAGTGGTTCCATCCTTTCTCTAACTAAGAAACGGGTCCCCAAATTTCACAAACTGACTCGTACAGTACTAACTTTGTAAAGTCACAAAGTAAAACAACATATTTCAATATCTAACTGTATTTTACAACACGTTTTGTCATCTGTCTTGCTGATCAGCTGAAATTTCCCTGTCGACCATGGTTGGGAGCCACTGTTCAGTATATGCTCTTGTCTTTTGTTATGGTGACGGAAATTAAAATGGCTTCCTTAAATTTAGCTTGATATTGAGAACATAATAAAACAAACTGTTACAATGGCATTTTAAAATCTCAAAATACAAAAAAAATTAAATTTACTGGAAAGAGAAAAATAATTATGTGGTCATTGTTTTGACCAAATGACATGTATTAAAAGTTGTAATCTACCTTTTAAATACATAGCAAAAGTTAACACTAGCTTTTTGAATCTTCTAATACTCTTTTTATTGGCCTCCTTTACATAGGTCATTTGGGCAGTGTTGACCACATAATTATTACAACTTTTTCCTACTTATTGTGTGTCAGAAACGTAATTTATTCGGACATGGTTGTATACTATTACCAAAACATGTGCTTCAAAAATGAGGGATTTAATTAGCTGAATAGAAAAAGACTGAAATCTGATTGATAACTAGCTTAAAAGACTGAAATCTGATTGATAACTAGCTTAAAAGACTGAAATCTGATTGATAACTAGCTTAAAAGACTGAAATTTGATTGATAGCTAGCTTAAAAGACTGAAATCTGATTGATAACTAGCTTAAAAGACTGAAATCTGATTGATAACTAGCTTAAAAGACTGAAATCTGATTGATAATTAGCTTAAAAGACTGAAATCTGAGTAATAATCTAGCTTAGGGGACTGAAATCTGAGTAATAATCTAGCTTAGGGGACTAAAATCTGAGTAATAATCTAATTTAAAAGACTGAAATCTGAGTAAAAATCTAGCTTAGGGGACTAAAATCTGAGTAATAATCTAGCTTAGGGGACTAAAATCAGAGTAATAATGTAGCTTAGGGGACTAAAATCTGAGTAATAATCTAATTTAAAAGACTGAAATCTGAGTAATAAGCTAGCTTAGGGGACTAAAATCTGAGTAATAATCTAGTTTAAAAGACTGAAATCTGAGTAATAATCTAGTTTAAAAGACTGAAATCTGAGTAATAATCTAGT